CCGGGTATCCGGGTATCCGGGTATATTCTCATCAAAATCAAAAGGGAACTGAGATTATTTAAATTTTACTTCGTAGTAATTCTCAGTTTGCTTACCTTCCTCCGTCTGAAAAAAAGTGAATGCAGTTGGCTGTGTTACTAAATCTCTGTAGTTCTCAATTTAATTCCGCATAGTCTTACAAGTTGCGCACTGTACGCGAAGTATAAAAGGGAGAAAACAAACAAAAACACATAAAGAAGTATCAAATACCAATCTGTTAACAGCAATTTGTTTGTTTTGTTTTTTCTTGTTTTGGTATTCGAGGCTCGCATTTCGCTTGCACTTTGGACTATAATTTGAGAAGATAAAGAAAATTCGTGAGCAATCGACCTCATAAAGTTAAGAAAAGCAACGGCGCTGCTTAATCAGACATTTCTGCGATAAATAACCCTTGTATTTGTTTCTGTTAACTTTTATTTATGTATCGAATACACTTGGAGTTAGGAAAATACTTTTATTTTTTAGGTAAATTAGTCTTTTATTGTAACAACATCTCGCGGAGGTCAATGCTTGGAAAAAAATTACGCACTTTTTTTCAGTTTGAAAAAAATACATTTTTCAAACTGAATGCCAACAACTCAATTTTTTTGTAAAATAATATCTATAATGAAAGTGAGAAGGGTAAAGCGTGGCTTGTAAGAGTGTAAAATCGACGATGAAAACTAGCATGCCCAAAGCCATTTGTTTGATTGATTATTCTTTTGAGTGTCTGCGCGGTTTTTACTTAATTTAATATGCAAATATTTATGTCTCTTTTGAGGGTTTACCGGAAACGTCTGAGGAGGGACTAACGCTCGAGTTATCAGCCTTTGAAACTCTTTAAGGTGGCCAATTCGAAATATCAACTTAGTTGATTAAAAGGAAAAAAATGTATATATATTTTTATATCTTTACTTCCACCGACGAAGCACCACATTAGTTTTTGGAAACTTGCCTCTCTTTATTATAACAATTAGTTTAGTTAATATATATCGCCTCTAAGTATTACAGA